AATTATTCTATGATTCTATAACACAAAGAGTCCAAAGACTACTACTGGACACAGAATGGTGAGAGCAGTTTGAGTGCTTAGCATGAGAAATTGCTTCAACATTCAGCAGACCATGACTGGCAATTGGAATTGAATCAGAAGTCTACATTTTTCCCTCAACAGCATGCACATCCAAAACACAATCTGCTTCTAACTACAGCAAGACTTGTGCAAATACTGGAGTAAAACTGAGCATTAAGAATAAAGATGAGTAGAGACAATACATAAGAAAATACATTTTCTGCACTGCAAGTAGAGTATTGCCTATGGTGTCATTGTGAAGTTTCAGCTTGACCTCGACCTCACAGGGTTGTTCTGAGGATCAGGTGAGGAGGACAGCCATGCATGCTACCCTTGAGCTCAGTGGAGAAAAGTCAGGATAATAAGTCATATAATCAGTCTGCAGGGATATCAGACAAGATGACAATAGCAGACTGGATGTATCAGTGGTCTGATAAGACAATTTAAAATGTGGGCTACCAATGACTGTTAATTTTCTTGCATCTGATAGCACAGTGCAAAAATACATTGTGTTGTATTGCAGTGCTTCTTCTATGCACAAACCAGTTTCACATGCCTTATCTCAGAAGCCTTCACAACTGTAGGTTGCTATTATTCCCATACTACAGCTGAAGATGAAGGGGGGAAGCTGGAGAAATGGCTCATCTGCGAGCATCTGGTTAGTTCAAGGCTGAGACGATCTTTGAAACAGACTTCTCAGCTCTCAGAATCATTGAACTGCTACAATACAGCAACTTTCACCATATTGAGTACTACACAAAGAGTCAAGCTGGGAGGAGGATTAGCATTCTTTCACTCAGCAATGATGCCTAGCAACACAACCCAGATCATGACAACAGAGCAACAAAAGCTACATACAAGTGTTTAAAATTAACGGAAGGAAAAGAGAAAGTGCATTAAGAGTAGGTTGGTTATTGGTTCTCTCAGAGCATTCCTCATTATCTCAGAATTTTCTGAAATACCAGCATAGTTTGAGGAGCAGATTCTCAAAATGCCTTTAGGTGCCTATGAAAAAGATGGATTGTGGATGGCTGTGGCCACCCAAGGGGCAAAAGGTCTAGAAGCCTGTACAGTACTGTATTTACCAGGCCTTCTAGGAAGGACCAAGTGGAGATACTGATGTCATGAAAGGGAGTTGTGGAAGGAAAAGGTGTAGACATCCAAAGGCAGATAATCGTAGGGCAGCCAGATACATAATATGGAAATACTCACAGAAAAAGTAACAAGGAAACAAAGAAACAGCGCCAGAAAACCTTTAAATTGCTCCACAGAGAGATTATTCTTTACCACAGCATCAGTGAGACAAAAACAGACACAGCTTTCCCATATTGTTTCCCATATTTCCATACTAGCTGAAATACAGTAATAAATCACACTTGGAGTAGGCCCATTGAATCACGGAGATTTGTTGAATCAACACTTGTGTAGATTCAATTGATTTAGTGAACCTACTCTAGTTGTGACATACTGCAAAATTTCAGCCATTGTTCAATATGTCTCAGGAGATTTTTTTTACTAGCTTACAATTGGCAAAATGTCTGGAGACCAAAGACCTAACATATATTTCGTGATTTGAGGGGGAAAGGACACCTTCCACCACCACCACCCCAAGTTATTATTTCTCTGCTGGGACAGTTAATAGGAAAACCAACAGATGGTGCACCATATGTGAGAAATAGCTTTGTAAGGACCATCTAAGTGACATGCACAGAATGCTCCTTCTCTCAGCAGATATCTTTTCTTACTGAAGTAGAAAATTGTTCCAAAAGATCATTGACACTAGGTCTTCTGGCAAATAAATTATTTTTTTCCCTCCAAGGTTTACATTGGTTTTTAATTCCCGGGATTCAAAACTAGGCTTTGTTTCAAATTGGAAATAAAAAGTTCAAATTTTAAGGCACAGGATTTGTGTTGGTTACATTTTTTTTAAAAAAGGAGGGCTATCAGCTACTTCAGTGGTCCCCAACCTTGGGCCTCCAGATGTTATTTGACTACAACTCCCAGAAGCCCTCACCACTGCCTCCGCTGGCCAGGATTTCTGGAAGTTGAAGTCCAAGAACTTCTGGAGGCCCAAGGTCCAGGACCACTGAGCTACTTGACACTAATATCTGAGTTCAAACGAATTCTTGCTCTGTGTCTTCAACCATTAGGGAAGACCCCCATTTCCACATGTGCAAATGCTCTTGTGAATGTGGGGCATTTCCATATTTAAATTCTCCTTGGCTCAGAAAATACCCTAAAGTTGTTCAGTGCATGTTTTCATACCACCCTGGATAATTTCTAAATGGTTTATCGTATTTAGATGTCAAATGTCAGTGCCAAACAACTACAAAGCATTTAAATCAAACAAAATGCTTGCTTTCAATGGTTGGCCCCACCACAGCATATACTGGAGGTCACAAAATTGACCCCTGGACCAAGGCAGAGTTGCTTACCCTTGAATTAAAGAGTTAAGTCTCTAGTCAATGAATTAAACATTTAGAAAATAAGATACTTATTTCACACACATACATTGACACATCCTTTTTTCAGACATACAGAAATGTGTCTCTTTCCACACTAATAAACTCTCTCACGACTCCTTCCACATAGGAAAAAAAAGAACATCCTTTGTCTCCCTCTTTTATGCACACGATAAAAGGTATCTATATCTTGTCTCTGTATTGCAATAAAGTACTAATTTATTGTTGTGATTGAGAGATTCTTAATTTAGATAATAGCAATGAAAGATAAATGTTACAGAACCGGCTGGCTAATTTCATTCTGATTTTTTTTTCACCATTTGGGTTCACACACACACACACACACACACACACACACACACACACACACACACACACACACACACACACACACACACACACACTGGGTCCACCGTCTTTACCAGTCTTGTTTGCTTCATGCTGATAAGCCAACCCTGGACATGTTTTACTTCCAGACAATCAAACAGAGGACAAAATAGCAGGATTTAAGTATTCTGTGATGGATAGGACCAAAGGTATGAGTCACAAAGTGAAACTTGCTGGGAGTTTACTACAGAAAATGAGCTCCTTTTGAAAATGGTAGAAGAATTTATTTTAGAAATATATATAAAAGAAAGCACAAGAAATGTTAAAATAGAGATGGTGCAAGAGATCTAAATGGGTTCTCTCAGAAGTGTGTTCATTATTGTTTTACATTAAAATAGCTTATTAGTGTTCTGGATTCACTTTGAGAGTCAGTGTTGCATGGTGCCTGTATTTTTCCACAGCAAGGCTACTAGCAGCTTTGTGGGTGCTACTAACAGCTTTTTAGATCAGGAAAATGGGATGGGGAAAAACTGGACACACACCCCCATTCTGGGGCATCAATCGTCCCCACCCCCACAGCTGCTTTAAATTGAAAGGGAGGGAGGAGATGTGCTCATAGCTATTCATATTACATTTTGTCTTGTCCTTCCGATAATTATGTAAGATATTTCTTTATACTCATTGTTCTTAGCTTTAAATATTGTGGCTGTTGTGGGTTTTTCGGGCTCTTTAAATATTGTCTTTTAATGATGTCCACCCTTGTTGTCTACTCATTGTTTTAAACTTTAAATATTATCTTTCAGTGTTGTATGCCTCCCTTTTCAGAGAGAAAGTCAGGGTTAAAATATTTTAAATAAATAAATATATCCATCAAGTACACTGGAAACTGGAATATATTTGAACGGTGATGATTTCATCATTTTTAAAAAGCAACCTTAGACTTGAGCCACTTTTTAATATACAAACACCATGATAACAAGGCAAGCCACCAAAAAAAAAGGCACCACCAATATACAGAGTGTTCCGTTTCAACTTCCAACAGAAGCCAAAGCTACATGGATAGCACTAGTGGCCAACAGGGTGAACAGAAGGTCATCATGACAATCCTCAGGAATGATCAAGAAAAGGCCACATAGTCATAGAAACAATAAAAATGCAGGAAGAGGTGATACCTTTAACAATCCTCACATATTCTCTTCTAGACCTCCCTTTCCACTCAGGGCAAATATAGCCATGCAGTGGAGCAAAACCAATTTGTACAGAAATGAGAGAGCACTGCACAAATTATGTGGCAAGCTCACACTCATGTCTACATTTGTGGTTGCAGAAATATGCGGATAGGGGTGTGTGTGGCTAAAATAGTTTTATTGAGCCCAGAGGAATCCTTCTGCTATCACCTTTGCACTTGTGATGGACTGAACCAAGCAGCTTATTTGGAAAAGGAAGTTCCACATAGGGACATTGACCTTACAAAACAAGACACTGCTTTATTAAAATTTGGAAAACATAGAAAACAAGATTATAAATATGAGAGCTGTGAAAAGTGCATATGTTGTGTTATTTATAACATGGGTAATGATACAGCAACATTAATCACTTCTTATCCCTGGGGGGAGCTCTACCCATATGTTTCTGCAGTACTCTCAGACTGCTCTACTGCATCACCAAGGCTGTATAACTACAACTTTGAAGTCAGTTTTCTGTTTAGTTAGAGGAAAAGGAAAACAGAAAACTCATTTCAACATATTTGTGCAATTCAAGGGACATTTGCCTTTGACTTGTATTTAAGCATCTATATCTTTATCCAGATGGCAGTTTTCTTCATGGATGGTTCAGCATGGTAATAATGCTGAATTAGAACATCCAGAAAATGAATCTCAAGGAAGAAATTATAAGTTATAAGGTGAGCTCCCCCATCCCCACCATAACACTTGCTTTTTTGGATAAGGGCATTTGCAGGCACTGATCACTTATTTTCCAGATCAGGGAACCAACTATCCTTCAGCTAGGAATATCATATCCAAGGGATTTGATAAATAAATTGCACATATTTGGCCCATATCTCTTTACTCTCAACTCCTTTCTCTTTTCAGTTACGTGCATTTTCTATTATCAATAAGTCTCACCATAAAACTCCCTTATGCTGCTTACCTTATGATAACAAACATGACCAGAGAGTTGCCAACCAAGCCCACCACAAAAACCATTGAATAGACGGCTGTGATGATGATGGGAATAGCTGGGGAGATGTTGGTGTGGTTCTGTTGCAAGTCTTCATACATGCCACTACTGCTGTTGCCATATTCTGCCCAGTCCACAAGCCAGCTAGTGCTAGTCACACTTGGAAGTGGACATGCTCCAGGGGAACATGTAGGGCCTGGTTCCTCACGGAAAATGTATACTGGAGATTCCATGGAGGGTTCCACCTTCAGCCCAGGTAGAGAAGACAAAGAGCAAGGAGGGAAACAGGTGAATAGGCTGGAAAGAGAGAAAAGACCACATTTTAAGTTGGGGTCCCTAAACTGACATTTTCTAGGTGCCTTAGACTTCAGATCCTAGAATTCAATTGCTAGCTGGGCATAGTAGCATTTATACTCTCACCTAGGTGTGGTACAGGTGTCAATAAGAATTCTGAAGTAACTATTCCTGCAGTTATGAGTGCCTTCAGAATAATAAGAACAAACTGGGATGGGAAAAACTGAATTTCATAGTGGTGAGAAACATTCATGAAATAACCACAATTTAAGAGCATCATCTTTGAATGAAAGAGTAGCCTAAAACTGCATGTCTGCTGTCCCAAAGAATTTCTCATCTGTATGAATTTAATTCTGGAAAAATCAATGACAGAAAGCTAGAAAAACTCCAAGCATTGCTAGTATTAGGTCAGAGAAGAAAGCCACAATAATCAAAAGGTCTGAAACTCCTGCTAATGCACTAAAAACTTGTGAAACTGTTAAAACACGTTTTGTCCACTCTAGATCAAGATACACAACATCGTGGTCACATCACACGAGACATAAACAATTCAGTCAGATCCCTCCTCATTACTCCCCCCCCCCATTAGTGCATCCAAATGACACATAAATAATATAAAAAGGGGACCAACAGCCTTTAAAAAGATATCACTATTTTAGAGAAAGAGGTAGAGGACAAAGACTATATCACAAGAAAATAAACATTATTAGCAAAGGAAGAGAAACAGAGCAGTAGCAACATTACCTTTTTAAAGAAAACCAGGAAAAGAAGCAGATATTCTCACAAGTTGGAAAGCATGTTCTCCCTGCCTATGCCTGTTTTACTCTTTGAAAGAGAGTCTTCTTTTACCGGGAAGCTTTGCACTCCTGGGGATGAAGAGCAGGCTGGCTATTGAGCTCAAAGAAGCAATGACTGCAGCTTCCACTTTACCTTTCTACCAAGCAATCTCTCGCACACTCTCTGTCTCCCACTCTCACTCTGCTAGTTTCGTACGTCGGCAGCCCTTGCACAAATGCTCCTCTAAGCTCACATGACTTTTCTCTGAACACCCAAAGGCAAGCAAAGTATCAAGCAGGAGTGGGGCAGCATCTCCTCTAGCATCTGGAAGAATTTAGACCATGCTCTGCATTGTTCCTGTGCTCTATCCTAATTTTTTAAAAACTGAAGCCATACAGTTTCCCACAGCCCATGACCATTGCTTCTCTCTTCCTTAATTGCATAGAACAGACAGCAAAAGAGAAAATTCAGATAAAGGATACTTGACTGTCCACGTGAGACGTTTTGAAAGCATTCAGGATAGTTCTGCGATGCTGACATACTGTCCCCTGCTGTATTCAAACTATATAAAGGAAGCAAGAGAGAAGTGTTCCCCTCCTTGACACTGCAGAAGGGGCAGGACACTACGATGATTTTGTTACATGCAATAGTGATTTTGTCACATTTTTATATTGCATCATAAATAGTTTTCTAACAAGAATGAAACATCTTGTTTGTTTCAATCAGGGCAGATGCACTGAATCAACACTATTTAAATAAAATGCCTTCCATAGTTATAGTTTTAGAAGACGTAGCTGTGCTAATCTGCTAGCGTATCAGGCCAAAACAAAAGAAAAATAAAACAATAAAGAAGACAAAAGAATTATGGCACCTTAACAGCTATATTTTAATGTGAACTTTCGTGGACAAGTCCTCTTCTTCAGACCTGAGGAAGACAGTTTTTGACTTCTTTAATTTTTTATTTTGTTTTGGCCTGATATTTATATAAAAGTTTACTTTAAAAATTGCATTCCTTCAATGGGTCTTCTCTAATGGAAATTAATAATTGGATTTAGTCACTCATTGCTCTTTGTCGGGTTGTCTTTGTCTATTAAACTTGCCAAGAATTGTGTGACATTTAGAGGAAAGTAGCAGTTCTCAGAATTTCTAATAATGAATGTCCATAACTCAGAGGAAAAATTTATTCAAGTCTGTCAAGATTTATTGCTTGAGCCCACACTAGCCTGAACTTGACAAGACCACCTGTTCTAAAAAGAAGGAATATGAGATGGAGGAGGAACAAGATCTTAATGTGGGTCTGAATCCAGACCATACAAAGTTAACATAGTTTAGAGAAACCAACTTAAAATAGAGTAAGAACCAATTTGAAGGAGTAAACAACAAATGAACAGAGGAAAGAACAACTACCGTAATATCTTTCTGTGTCCTCTAGCCAAAATCATAATAAAATTCCAGCTTCTGGGAATTTCAAATATAGACTACTTTGCTTGTATTTTCTTTCAAATCTGAATTAGCTTCAGAAAACATTTCAACAGTATTCCAAGCAACTATAAATTTCCAAATGGGCAAAACTCAATAGTCTTTTAAAAGTGCTTCCCAGTACTCAGTGCAAAGTCTGAAAACAGCAAGATCGTGGGAGGTGGAGTGATACAAAAGGCACTCACTTTAATCCTTTTCATATTGATTGAGTCATTCAGAACAACACTATAAAAAGGGGGACCTGGGTATCCTTCATGTCACAGTTTCCCATAATGTGGGAAACATGCCTGACCAAACCTAAGGTGACTCAGCATCCATCATTATTGTTGTCAGGGTTATAGACACAATGTACATTTTCAAATTTGCATTTTTACACTCCCTTTAATTATTTTAGCACTCTGTACATACAAAATGTCAAACTGACAATGTAGTGGGGCGAGGGACAAAGCATCAGGACTTTTTAACTAACTGGGACAATGACATCATCTGTCAGTCTCCTCTTGTTCCTTGGAGTTTAGCAGCAGTAGGTAGGAGGAAAAATTGTTTTTCTCATTAATTGTATACTGTTGTCAGTGACCCTGGTTATTATGCAATTTGTGATAGTTGGTACTGAGTGGTGAATTAAGCATTCACATCTGCTCCTTGTGAAGATGAAAACTGCTGGAACTGGTTTGCTGATATGGGTCAACACACATGCCTGTATTTTTACAAAACTCCAGGAAAGGTTCCAGAAAGTATGGAGAACGTTCAGAAAAGAGGTGACTTTCTTCTTTAGAAAGTCATCCTCCCTGAGAAGCACAGTGTTAAAAAAGGACATACTAAGGTTTGCATTGTGCTACCCTCACTTGATTACTCACAACAGTTACAGAATTCTTGAAAAGGGCTAAAATGCAATCTGGGAAGGCAACACATAGCCCCTTTTCACCATAATCGTTTCAAGGGGGCAGCAAAGCTGAATTTCTGACCCTCATTCCAATGTTGTGCCCTTTCCTCAGCATCTATATGAAGATGCCTATAATGATGGAGTCTGTGCATGTAGACTTCTGTGCTTCCAAGCAAGGTGAAACATCACATAGGGTTACAACTGACATGGAGATCTTTACATAGCATGCAGCTAAACCCACTATGTGACTGCTGGGGACAGAGGTGAAGAAACTGCTGCAGCTGTTGTTACGTGCTATCAAGTCACCTCCAATATATGGCAACAATGTGAATGAGCAATCCCCAAAATGTCCTCTCCTAAACAGCCTTGCTCAGCTCCTGTAAACTCAAGCATGAGGCTTCCTTTAAGGAGTCCATCCATCTCGTATTTGATCTTCCTCTTTTCCTACTGCCATCAATCTTCCCCAGTATTATTGTCTTTTCCAGAGAGTCCTGTCTTCTGTCAATGTGCCCGAAGTAAGTTTTAACATTTTTGCCTCCGGAGATAGGTCAGGATTGATCTGATGCAGGACCCACTTGTTTGTCTTTCTGGCAATCCATGGTATCTACAAAGTCCTCATCCATCACCATAATTCTAATGAATCATTTTTCCCTTCTCAGCTTTTTTTTACTGTCCAGATTTCATACCCATATATGGTGACTGGGAATAAAATAATGTGGATGATCTTGGTTTTGGTCTCCAGTGCACATCTTTACACTTGGTGATCTTTTCTGTTTCCTCTATTGCTGCCCTTCTAAGTCTCAGTCTTCAGATTTGTCGATTGCAGTCTCCATTTGGATTGAAGATTAAACCAAAGTATCCAAAATCTCTGATTATTTCAGTTTCTTCATTTTCAACACTAAAGTTGTGTAGTTCTTCTGCAGTCATTATTTTGGTCTTAATGTTCAACTACAGTCTTGCTTCAGCACGTTCTTCTTTCTTCATGAAAAGGGGGTGGCTTTTTGCCAGTAAGATTGTGTCATTTGCTTGTCTTAAATTACTGAAGTTTATTCCACCAATTTTCACTCCTCCTTCATATGAATTTAGTCTTTTCATATGTGTTGTGTGTACTGATTGAAGAGATAAGGGGATAAAATGCACCCTTGTCTGACACCTTTGCCTATAGGAAACCATCCTGTCTCTCCATATTCTGTCCTAATGGTAGCTTCTTGTCTACAATACAAATTACTCATCAGGACAATAAATAGGGACCGCCTCGGTGGGAAGGTAACAGCGTTCCATGTCTAAGTCGCACTGGCCATGTGACCACGGAAGATTGCCTTTGGACAAACGCTGGCTCTATGGCTTGGAAATGGGGATGAGCACCGCCCCCTAGAGTCGAACACGACTGGACAAAAATTGTCAAGGGGAACCTTTACCTTTACCTTTACAAAGCAACTCAGAACTGTTTGCAAATACATAAAGAAATAGAAGATATTGCTAAATAAAACAAAAAAAAATCCACATAGACTGGCTGTCAGCTTTACTAAATCTTTTCCTAGACAGCAACCCCAGGCGGTTGCATCAAGATTTGATCACTTTCCTATTTGCTGCACATCAAGAATTTGTAGAGTTTCAGAGTTTTGAATTTCTGGTAAAATTCCTTTTTGCTACGCCATAGAAGTACAGAGGAAAATAACTACATGTTCCCTAGAGTCCCCCCTTTTCTCACTAACTAGAATTTAAAGTCACAATAACTCACTCTGAGACATTTGTAGGAGAAATAATAGAAAACGTTTACTTATAGTTAGTTGAAATTACAGACTTACATATACAGCTTTCTTTACTGTACACATATTTAGCAATGGACTAAACAGATCTCTGCCAGCACACAAACTATAGACAGTATGTGAGGTTGCAAATAAAACTCCAAGACAAAGCACTGGAAGGAAGCTGATAATCTATGTGTGAATAATATGTATAAGCCTCGTGGTGCAGTGGTTAAACTGCTGTACTGCAGCCAAAACTGTGCTCACGATCTGGGGTTCAGTCCCAGGTAGCCAGCTCAAGGTTGACTCGGCCTTCTATCCTTCCGAGGTCGGTAAAATGAGTACCCAGCTTACTGGGGGCGGGGGAATGTGTAGCCTGCATAATTAACTTGTAAACCGCCCAGAGAGTGCTTGAAGTGCTATGGGGTGGTATATAAGCAGCACACTTTGCTTTGCTTTGCTTTAAAAGGGTCTGCGATTTATCTGAATGTTTAACTCAAGAATTCAAACATGAACAAGTCAACCTCATACACAGATAATTTCAATGCAACTTGGTTTCCCTTCATTCCTTATATTCAAGGGCACAAAGACAAATATACTAAACCTCCTAACACTAATAGGACTATGTGGGGGGATAAGCTGCCCTTACATCTTTTCAGGCACTCATGGAAACAAGGAAATGCCAGCCATTATATGCTTCATATAATGGTTTGCTATTAGCTTCATAACTGTAAAGCAGAAAACTTCTCTTTCTTTTTCTCTTCCCTCCTGCAAAGCTCATTGTTGTAATTTTTATCCTACATTTTTTTCTTTTCTACCAATGTTGGGGAAGGCTACTGAGTTTTGCTGGCTGGAGGTCACAAAACAGAACACAGAGTGAATAAACTTTACCAAATCACTCTCTCATACAGAGTTTACAGTATATAGTGAATCTTGCTGAAAAATAAAACA